GTACCCAAAAATTGTCAATAAAGAAAAATTGCAGAAAGTTGTTGTTAAAAATGGATGAATAACACAATATATATAACTAAACATAACAAAAATAAAGTGAAAAAGCATCAAAAAACATAAGAGTATATTACAAGAGCAAGAAATGACTGGCACACAACAGATTGCATTTAGGCTTAGAGCACCTTTTATCACTGTCTGCACAGTTCAAACTCTGAAGCATCGTTTGAAGTTTGAGGTGAATTTAGCATTTGAATTCTGAAGCATTTGAAGTTAGTTATTCAAAGTATGAGGTACCACTAAATAGGATTTTTTTAGCACACACATGTGCTAGCTCTAGTGATGATAGTGAAAGTTTTAGTGGAAGAAACATTTGAACAATTCAAGGTTTGTGCACATCTAATAGCATTTTATTAAAGGGCAAATGAGCCATTGCAGATTATTGTAGCTGCAGAATGTTTCTGCAAAGAGCTTATTAGTGAATGTTGTTATAAAGTGAAACAAGTATTTAACATAGACAAAACTAACTGTCTGTCTTATTTTGGAAACATCTACCAACTAAAACTTTACCAAAGAAAAATCTGTATCAGGATTTAATATCAGTGAAGCTAGTCTAATTGTAATTTTAGGAAGGAATGCAAATGGAGATTTACTTTACAAATAATCTTATCTATCATTCAGAAAATCCCAGAGCTGTTAAGAAGATACTCAAAAGATAGACTTCCTGTTCACTAGAGAACAATAATAAAAGGTTGGACAGTAGCAGGTTTATTTACAGACTGACATTCTGAATCTTGCTATTCCTGAAATTAGAGCTTATGTTAAACAGAACAAAGACTTTGACTAGTTCTTAGTCAGTGCTCCTGATCAACCAGTTTATCTTGAATTATCAGATTTTTGTTTATTTGCCTCCTAAGATCAGATCGTTGATCTAGCTTAAGGATCAGGGAGTCCTTTCAAATTTTAAGTTACTATCTTAGCTGAACATTTCAACAGCTTCTAAGTTTTATTGTGGAAAAAATAAAACTACTATGCAGAAATTTTGGAAAACTTTTAACATAATGTCATAGAAAATATTTCAAGCTCTTGGATGGAGATGAAATCTTCATATATGAATGGTGTTTGATACAAAATATGGTCAGAATTAAAGACAGGAATGGTACTATTTTAGAAGCTAAGAAATTTCCTACAATTTGACAAGAAATAGGTAACCTAGTTAGAAAACCTTACTTGAAAGGATATAACAGTATAATTTATAAAGAAAAATTGTTCAAAATACAATACCATTTTATAAATTTTAGGAAGTTTTATAAATATGAAAAGAAGATTCTTAGTCAATGTAAATTTGAAGGTTTTTTTTATTATTCTATCATGTTTGCATAAAATATTTTACAATACAACTTGATATATAGTTTTTTTTATCAATAGCAACATGCAAAAAATAGATATACAGAGGAATAAAATAACTTTTATTTTTCTTTTATTGTTTCTTTCAGTTTTTACTATGTTTATTTTATTAATTTGTATCTTGTTTCTAATCAGAGATATATTTCTGCAGGTCAAAAATTTTCACGACAAGTTAGATTTAATCTTCTAATGAAAATTATATTCATTTTTCTTAAGAGATATTAGCTTGAATGTCTTAAAATTGTGTTGTCCATTATCTATATATTAAAGAACTAAATTTATTTTAGTAAGTCAATGAAAAAATTGAAAAATTAAATTATAGCAATAGTTTATGAAGAATTATGAAAATAAATTATTGAACATACATATAATACTTTTGAAGTTAAGCATACAACTGGTCAAAATAATGGTATTAATATACTACAAAAATTTTTTTATGGACTATCAGTCAGATTATGCATTTCTAAAATTTTAAGATTTTCATTATTTTGAAGCTTTATTAAGTTTTTATTATTTTACTGTTTCATCAAATAATGATTATGCACAAAATCATATCAGATAATCTTTAGAATGTACTAAATTTATTTATTCAAATTCTGCATTAAAAAAATTTTTTTTTTAATTAATTAAAAGAATAATTTTGTATATAATATAATTTTATACTGTAATTTTATTTAATAATATTTAAAGGGCCCAGAAAAGTTACGGTCGCAGCTTCTATTATTAGATCGTGGTTTCGATTGTGTATCACCTTTGCTTCATGAACTGACATTCCAAGCAATGGCATATGATTTACTATCAATAGAAAATGATGTTTATAAATTTGAAGCAACTAGTGGAAATGATGTCAGAGAAAAAGAAGTTCTTTTGGATGAAAATGATGATTTGTGGCTAGAATTACGTCATCAACATATAGCTGTTGTATCACAGTAAGTTTTTTCACACAAGTTTTCTATAATTATAGTTTTTTATGTATATTGATGTGCATATTAAAAATAAATGGAATTTTAGTAAAAAGTCTTGAGTTTCACTACTTCATTTTAGATGGAAAATCTTTTGATTTGTAGATAATATATGTAACCAGAATAACAGAAATTATGTTTGTCTTCCTTCTCAAACTTTTTTATAACTGCCAATAATAGTTATTCTGAAATTCTGATATCCTTTAGTCACTATATTCTAAAACTACAATATATTTTTTTTTATATCAGAAAGTTTTATTGATCTAAATTATTTGAAAAATACCTGATTAAATTATCTTTTTTGCATGTTCTGGTAAATGATCTTAATCTTAATGGTTGCTATGACATNCTAAGATCGCAATGACAAATTTCATCAGGACTGACACCATTATGTCTTTGCAGACAGACACAGAAACCGTTTTGTTCTGTCGTGTGAGAGGTTGCGTATGTAGGTTAGATTTGGATGGGAGACGGAAAGAGAACTCTGGAAGAAATGCACTCCACAAGGTTATTCATTTAAAAAATATTCGTTTAATTATAAAGGCTATTTACAAGGTTAAGGTTGTTTACAGGATTACTTATCTCTAAACTATCAAACAGCTCGAGAGAGAGAGTTTATATGAGGTTCATGTGATGATAAATACCTGGAGTCTGATTAGGTCCTCGTCAAAGGATTCTCATGGAGATCAAGTTCAGGTGTTAATCCAGGTTGGGTTCACTTCAGGTGCTAATCCAGAATTGGGTTAAGGATGGCGATGGAGAGATAGACACACACAAACACACACACAAACACACAAGAAGGTCCACATCTGCTGACGGGAAAAGCCAATCATCATTGTCCCCTCTGTTTTTATATGGGATCTCTCCTGGGTTTTTCCCATTTATTCATTAAAAGCTTCAATATGTTGGGGCCAATCAATGATTTTTTACACGTTGAGTTCAAGTGACACAGTGAATGTGTCACTCTCAACAAGGAACTAAGTCCGTGGGAAACAGTTTTATCGCTGATTTAATCAGTAGTTTTTTTTTGAAAATTTATCCAGATTTGAACAACAAAATGTTATAATAAATTTAAATAATTTTTTTCCTAAACTATTTTTTTCTTTAATATTTTTCATCTAATTTGGCTCTCACATAGGATTAAACCAATAATCAAAGGGGTGTGTGTCTTAATTTGTTTACAGCAGAATTAAAGACAGGAATGGTACTATTTTAGAAGCTAAGAAATTTCCTACAATTTGACAAGAAATAGGTAACCTAGTTAGAAAACCTTACTTGAAAGGATTTGATGAGAATGACATAGGTGAATTACTTGTCTTACTTATGTAATGAGTAGTGGAGAATTAATGCAGATGGATTCACAAACATCTCCCAAGGGATGCATTTTGAAAGAAACATCTAGTCAACCAATTTCAACAATCAAAATGACTCTGAAGTCCTGCATTTGATCAATGAAGCTATTGATATTTTCATAAATGATGATTTCAACAGAGAAGATTTCAATGGTTTCAAATGGAAAATTCTGGTTTGATTCGTGACATTTCAAATTGCATCATGTTTTGTAGGAATGTTTCCAGTGCAAATCAAATACTTAGTTTATATTATAATTTTTATTTTTATGAAAATAAGACAGAGAAGTATATTGCATATACTATGTAAATTGACAAGAAGCTAGGTAATAATCCTATTTTCAATAAGGTTTGTATTTCTTCATTTCTTATATCTTTTAACATTCACTAGTACTTGACATCCATTGGAAAAGTATGCTTTTGAACAAATGCAAAGTTACTGATACACTGTAACAGTAATTTTGCATACTTGAATTTTATAAAATTTGAATTTTGTCTGTTCCTTGTTTCTTTGATTGACCCCAAAAATATGAACTGGATAATTTTTATTGTTTCTTACTATTGATATTTTATATATGTTCATAGTTGTTGTATTTAAAGCAAATTGAAATTAAGCATTATTGTTTCATAGATATAGCAATTGATTGCTGTCAGATTCTTTAAATTCTTAGGAAGATTGGAAGATAAGATACTTTGATTGTGATTCTTTTTGATATGTAGTATTTTAACAAAAATTGTTAGTGCAGTAGAGCCTCGAAAACTCGGCACTTGATAACCCGGCACTCCGGATAACTCGGCCACACCCTGGCAGGGCAAAAAAATCCTTAGTTAATTAATTTTCATGATGAAGACAGCTTTAAGCCTCATAAAGTATTTTTCTAAGGTCTGTCTTATCAGGTAAATTACTGTACAGTGTATTCATTAATTTTCATTTTCATGTAGTAAAGGCTCTATGCCTTCATAAAAGGTGTACTTTTCCTTTGTTTAAGGATATTTGGGCAGTTTATTCTTTGTTGTATTCTCAAGTAAACAATACATACAAGTATAGTACAGTATTTTCTGAGGACTTTCGTACTTATTTTTTTAACGCCATTCCCGATAACCCGGCATTTTCACAAACTCGGCCACCCTTCGGTCCACATTAGGCCGAGTTTTCGAGGCTCTACTGTAGTAGTATTCTGTTATCATGAAAGACATTTATTTAATATCATTTATAATCATAATAGTGTTCAATTAATTTATTTAAAATATTCTTTAATTTCATAAGAATTTTTTTATTTTCTAGGAATATCTGAAGAAAATTTAGCAAAACTTATACAACATGCCCAAATACCACCAGCAGAGAAGGCTATTATTACTAATATGGCTGCACTTGGTGTGAATATTGTAACAGATGTAAGCATTCTTTTACTTAAGAAAAATTTTATGTATTTGAACTAATATTAACCTGCAATTTTTAATAAGTAACAATTGTATCAGTTCTGCTTTATTGCAGAATAAAAACAGTTTTAAATAGTTCAGAGATTTCAAGGTTTCTCTTGCAGGAATTGATGTGATTGTTGTTATGTTTATTTAAAAAATAAAATACCATATTTACTTGGGTATAAGACGATTTCGTGGATAGGACGCGGTGTGACTTTAGAGATCAAAATAAAGAAAATTAGATTTATTAATACAATTCTAATTTTATTTAGTTTAATCACAAAATATTATCAAATAATATTTTGGTTTTGTTTTCCATTCATCACATATTAAGGCAAACATGGTTGTTTGCCTTAATATGTGATGAATGGAAAACAAAACCAAAACATTATAGTGCGTGTGACTGGAAAAAGTTTATTTTTAATGGTTCAGAATGTGCTAATATTCATTAAAAATATCAATTTAACTAATATAAAATAACTACATTTATAATCATTGCTAAGTTACCTGTATTTCATTATTGCTTTTATAAATAACAAGAAACTATTTTCTGTGAATGAATGAGATGCATGCTATTTAGGTGTATATGTAAATTTTGCATTATTTTTATATTAATACATAAGCATATCATTTATTAATAACAGTTACATTTAGTAGAATAAATGATCATTTTTAACAAAATTTGTATTGCTGTTTTGAAAACTTTAAATAAAATTTTAATCTCTCTAAATTTTCTATATAATGAGACTTATTATCATAAATAGTGTCAAATTCAATAGTTTAAAAACGACTATACCTTTATCACTTGTGTTTTTTACTAGCATATATAATAAACAAACATTTGACTTTAATATAAATATAATTTGAATATTAAATTATGTGAATATAGTACAATTGTAATTTACAAATGGGTTATGTTTTTGAAAAGTGCAAAAAGATTTGTGCATATTAGGACTGATTATTTTATTATAATAATTTAAAATTTTGAAGGAGCTATTTTATGAATGTATAAATAATCACCAATATAACAATTATTTTGATCTAATATTAATTTAATCACATAAGTGAATTTTTCAAATAATTGACACAAGTAGAGTAAAATTAAATGAAATTTGTAATGAAAACTCAACTTTTATATACAAGGGAAGAAAAAATGAAATTTTTAATTAGGTTATATTGATGATAAAAGTTAATTTTTTACTGTACTATACAGATAATCTGCAAACACATTATCTGCAATTTTTTTTCTACTTTCTGTGAGCATGTATATATAGCATGTTTTACTTTTTACACACAAGATTTATCTGTTATTGTTGATGTTAAAGATATTATTTTAAATTAAAAATGAAAGTCTGATTGTTAAAAGGTGTTTCAGGAACTTAAAGTGAAATTTATCAATATTGTGAAATATTGATAAATTTATTTATTTTTGTAATTATATAAATACTTTAAAGATAAACTTTTTTATTTTTTTTAATTCTGAAATTAAGTACTATGTAAAAATAAACTAATTTTTAAATTATTTGTTTAAATTCAAATGGTGTATTAATAATAATGATTAAAATAATAGAAAAAAATTACTAAATAATAGACTTAAATAATAATAATTTACCTGCTTTTTCTGAACTGAAAGAAATATATTTTAATCACATAATTAGGTAATAGTGAATTAACAATAAATTTTATGTTATTCTTATTTTTTTTACTATACTTCATTTTCTTACTAGTAAAAAATTATTATTGATTTAAAAAAATATGTTATGAATATAAAGTATTGATAATATTTAGAACAAACTAATATTGAGATTTAGCATTTTTTAATTATTTTAGTCTAATTAATAATGATAATACAGGGTGCAGTCAAAAAGTTGCAGGACTGGTGATGTGGCACTACAGTCAGCCATGTACTGAACTTGCATGAACTGGGATGTGTAATAGACTATTGTTGTTTAGCTTCCTGCCAAATTTCATGCCATTATTACATATAGTTTTTCTTTTTATTTAGATTAGATCCATGTTCTTGTCAATTTTCAATTCTTTATAAAATGAATTCTTTTAAAGAACTGCAACAGAAAAAAGTGATTACAGGAGATGAAACATGGATTTATGGCTATGACCCTGAGATGAGACAAAAGAACCAACTTTGTGGAAAAATCATGGCTCACCCAGACCAAAGAAAGCATGCCAAGTGAGGTACAATCTCAAGAGCATGCTCATTGTTTTTTTGATAGGGTGGAAATTATTTATCAAGAATTTGTTCCAAAAGTCCTTTAATATGGATGTTTTGAGGTGCCTATGTGAAAATATACAAAAAACAGACCAGATCTTTTGATAGCTCAGAAGTGGTTGTTGCATCGTGACAACATCCCTGCTCACGTAGCTATCTCTATTCAACAGTTTCTCGTCAAAAGTAAAATGGTCATGGTTCCCCATCCTCCTTATTCACTAGACTTGGCATTGTGTGACTTTTTCTATTTACATGGCTGAAAAAGTAGTGAAAGGACAGTGGTTTGAGAACATTCATGACATTCAAACAGAATCACAGTGAATGATTAACAATGTCATAAAAAAAAAGAGTTCTAGGAATGTTTTGAAAACTGAGAAAAGCATTGGAATCTTTGTATAGCTGCAGAAGGAACTTATTTTGAAGGCAACAACTCTCAATAAATTAACATGTATGTCAAACATTTTTTTTATTGGATTAGTCTCTGAACTTTTTGACTGCAACTTGTAGAATATATCATATAAATATATATATATCTGTTATGAAACTGGAAATATAAATAAGAATAGAAAAAGATTAAAGATATAAATGTAATTATAACTTAATCTTATAAAGTTTGTGAATTAATAAGATTTGTATATTTTTAATAAAATAATAAAATTTTGATTATATTAAAGGTACCGATCACATTCTGACACCGGGAAAGTTCTTAAAGAGACTCGAGACCCTGAAAGTTTGATAGTTTATCAAACCCCCTGAATACAAGCAGAATGGTGCATTAACAGAACTAATGCCAGACCAATTCCAGTGTTCACTTAGTTTAATCCAAGCCGCTTCAGATATCAAATTGTTCTGAGTTTTGTTGTTGTTGTTGTTGTCGTTAAACGTAAAATACTTTATCAGAAAAGTTTTACTTTCTAAGAATTAAAATCATGGGGAAAAAAATCCAAGAATAATTATAGATATTCCAAACATTAATGTTTAAAATTAGAAAGATTTGATGATACTTTTATAAGCCACTTCTTATTTGTATCAGTTTAATTTTTAGATATATAGATGTATATTAAAAAGCCTTACATTAAATTTAGATCATATCAACCTATGCACTTGCACACAAATAACCATGTTTCAATGCTTAGCCTAGTAAAAGCAAGTGACATTTCAGTCATACTTAACTTAATAATGTGAATTCATAATAAAAAAGAAAGAAACAAATAAGGAAAGAATGGAAATAAAAAACCAGAAAAAAAAAATAATGTGTAAATGTTTCCATAAATTAACATAACTTATGAATTGTTATGATCTGTATTATTGTCTTATGTGCCTAAATCACAGTTGTATTTTGCAACAGCTCTTTTAGCTATTTAGGTGTATATGTAAATTTTGCATTATTCTAAAGTTAAAAGTTATAATAATCATATTATCTACATATAATATATGTGTATATCTGCACCACTTAAATCATTTGTGATTATAGTTTATTTATAGATAATCAAAATAATTTATTAACAAAATCAAAAAAGACCTACATTGTTTAGCAGTCAAATCATCGAGCACATTGTGTTTTAGATCACGGAAAACAGGAAACAGTAAGTTTTAGATTTACATGTGTAGAGTATTAAACCATTTCTGTAATTGTTTAACTACATATTACTTTTTTACACAGTAATTGTGCTGTAAAGTTAATTATAATTTTTATTCAAATCTTTCTGAAATAAAACTTGATGCTTTTCTTCTTACTCAAGTTAGAAAGAATATAATTGGAAATAATGAAGTAACATTGAATAGAGAATTTTACTATGTATATATAGTTTGTGTATATGTAAAATGTAGTGTATAGATGTGTATAGTTATGAAAAAACCAAAAAAAGATGTCGCATGCAATAAATCCTATTGAGATGTTATATCATTTGCATTCAAACTTTTCATCTCTGAATGAAGTCAGAATTAACAAGAAATGCTAATTTATTTTTAATTGTAAGCATTTTAAACATGTAAATTATGAATTTGTTTACATAACGATAATTTTTTTTATTCTTCTTTAATGCGTAACAGTTGGACTGATTGAACACAGTTATTAGTTCATTCTTTCTCTGTAAGCCCTTTATTGATGACTATATAAATCAAAGCATGTCTGATTTTCTCATCAACTTTAAAAGTAACAATTTAAATGTATATAATTACAATGAATGTTACATATTGAGAAATGTAATTTCTTAATATAAAAATTCTCAATTCCATCTTCAATAAGTAAATTTTAGAACTGAGAAACATCTCTTAATAAAAATTTGTCAACTTAAACTAGTGTTTAGTAAATTAGCATAGAATTCTGTTTTTAAAACAATATGATATTCTTAATTCTGAAATATTTAGAATAAAAAAATTATATCATTAAACTTATAAGAATATTAATGAAGTGTAAACTACGAATGAAACCATAAAAATATAAATATTTGTTGCTAATTAATTTTCATTTTAGTTAGTTTATGCATAAATAGTTTCTAAATCAAATTAACTCTGCTTTCCATTTTTATTTATTAAATTTATTTTAACAAATAAACTTATGACACATTTTTCTGAAACCTTTATTTTCAGTACATTATTCAGTTAATCTCTCCCCCCTCCTTTTGTCTTTATTCATTTTTTACAATATCTTCTCACACTTAAAATAACAATGGAAAAGAAATTGTTTAAATTCAACAGTTTAAAATAATACTTTTTCAATTTTCTGTGTATATCTATACACTAACAAAAAACTAATTTCTTTTTTTGTTGAAGATGGAAAACAATAAAGAAGCATTGTTTTTAAGTAGAAACTACTTAAAATGTGTTATATTCCAGTCAGTCTGCCAATCACAAATTTATTTAATATTAAGAATATTCTATTTTTATTTTGTTAAATAATAATAATGATGATGATTGAAAACATTGTTCAGTAATTCACTTAAAATGTCATTTTGTTGTTCCAGTTTTTTTAAAATATTTTGAAATTTTGTTAAGTTTTTACTGATATTCTATAAAAGGTGTGAATAATGAATGTAACAAATTCCATATAAACATTGAAAATAATTGAATGCATTTCAATAAAACACTTATCAGTATTATGGTTGATGGTTGTTGTTGTTGTTGTTGTTATTATTAAAGTACAGTACTGTACATCTATTGAAACAAATTATTTAATTTCAAATCCAAATGTCTCACTCAAATATATATTTGATTTTATTTGAAAAAAGTTGAATTCTGCGAAGATGTGACGCATGTTTATAGAAGTTTTTAAGAAAAGTATTTTTGATAAAAGAAAGAACTGATATGTTATAATAAGACTATCTTATTGTTATGTGAAAGATAAATATTATTTGCCTATCCACTAGAGACTATTATGGTCTGGTAAAGTTTTCTTGTCAACATTTTATTTCTTTTCATTGCATAACTGAAAAGATAAATATTTACTGATAAGATGTTTAATTTTGTCAATATAAAAAGATATTCTACCAGATGCTTCAGAAGATAAACCCAGAATAGTGCGCTCTGTTTTAAAATACCGTTTTTGCCACGATTTATAGGTTGGTGTATTTTCTTTAAATGCCACAATCACCACTATAAATTTACAAATGAATTTGGGATAAATTTTTAATTTCAATTTTTCATCAAATAAAGATTGTGTAACACAACCTGTGTCGTGTTACACAATCGGTGTTACACAAGATTGTGTAACACCGACTGTGAGCACAAACAGATTTATATCTATATTTTGATAGATTCTTGCCATTTTGTGAAAGGTTTCTATAATTACAGTGTCTTTATCATACAGTGTATCAACGTGACTTATGTCTGTAGTGTGTGGTTTCAGCTTTCATAATTGTATTTTATCAACTAAAATATGACAAACGGTAAGTGCTTTAATCCTACACTTACAAACAAAAACTTAAGATCATTCTTTTCTTACTTAGATTGGGATTCTCTTTTTAACTAAATGACTTTTTTCTTTTAACAGGCATTCCATGGACGAATGTAATGAAACGAATTTTAACAAGAGTCAACAATTACTTTTCAGGTGATATCTGCATTTATGGTAAAAAAAAAAATTGATTGATTGTGGCATTTTCAATTTGATGGAAATGATTTCGATGCAGTGCTCTAATTAGATACTTCCACTCAATGTATAACAATAGTAATTTTTGAAATGGAATATTTACAACAAAAATCTTGAAAATTGTCTAATATGTAAGTTTCGGATTCTATAAATTTAACTCTCGCGTGCTCTCTTCCAATCGAAACAATCGTCTTGCCACATTCGTACAATTCAAAATAATTTCTAAACCATTGTATTGGCCGAAGTGGCTAAAACGTCAGGTTAGCAATCCGAAAGAACTTGGATCGTATTCGGACGAATACTCGTGGTCGGTTTGACCCTCGCCGTCCGATGTCTGATTGCGGGCCTGTGATCAACTCGCAACGCGCACGAATAAAGGCCCCCCTCCCTGTTAGGGTCCACTTGGCCTACAGTCAAAAATTACTATCGTTTGATAATTAATGTTACATTTGTTACTAAGTGAAGGAAACATTATTTAACACGAATCTGTATATTAGTTAAAGGTACAAACTACTTTTTGTAATTCTATTTTTAAAGCATTTTCCGCTCAATGCGTGTTTAAAATGTGCTGGCGACCTCATTTTAATGCAATTTTGCTTTTCATGCCATTTTTTCACTAAAAAATAAGTATTTAAAATTATATTNTATGTGAGTAAATACAGTATGTAAAAGAATGTTTATATATTTAATTTATTATGACCAAATATTATTATTTTTTCTTGTTAGAATTTATAAATTTATGATTTGATTGATAATGATAGAAATAATTAACATAAAATAACAATTTAAAGGGAAGTCGGAAAAAGATCTATCAGGTTCCCAGAAAGGAGCGAATAACTGAACAGACATATCAGATGTCTAGATGGACACCGGTTCTCAAAGATATTATTGAAGTTAGTAAGAAATTAAATTTGTAATGTCTTGTTCAAAAATTTGATTTTAATGTTTTTGTCTGTATAAAAACAGGATTCTATTGAGGACAAATTGGATACAAAACATTTTCCTTTCCTCTCTGGAAGAGTAGCACCTTCAAATTATGGTAGATCAGCACCAACAAGGTAAAATTTTAAATGAAGAAATTGTAATATTAATGCTTTAATGGTTATGATAAAATCAAATAGCTGGAACTGCTAGGTATAAACTAAATATTTCTTACTCAGTGCACTCATTTTTTCTTACTGATTTTCATGTAAAATATTTAATCATTTTAAAAAGCTGAAGCATTTGTTATAATAAATGATTCACAAGAACATCCACATAATCAAATTTTATTTGATCAAGAGGAAAAGCTGTTGTATTTTTCACTTCTAAGATGCACATAATTTTGAAATCAAATTTTAAGATTTATAAAAAATATTAAAATTAAATATAAATTTTAAATTTTTATCAAATAAAATTCTTAATTTTTTTTTAATTGAAACTTTGTTAAGCAACAAGTTAGAAAAATAATACAAAAGCAATGAAATAAGAATATTTAACAGTTGTGTTTCCATGCTGTTTGATGCTGCATTGTAATGTCTTGAAGGTTTTATAATGTTTAAAAATGAGTTTAAATTAAATGTTGGTTACTAGCAAATTCATTTGAACTGATGTGAACTTTAAGCAGTATAGCTGAAAACACCCATTATTGGTATATAATGCAGCACATAGTCTGCTCATGATTGCTGATTGTTGTTTTGGACTTCAAATGACTGATTTTCAGATACATCTGTTTTGAGCAAGTATAAATGGTTTAAAAAAAAACGAATTTTAGACTTGAAGAAATATGGTATTAAAATCATACAGAAAAAAAGACAATCAAAACTTTATCTTATAATAGAATCAGTTAAAAAAATTTTTTTACCTTAGATTTCAAAAATTTAATTGTTTTATTTCATACAAACTTTACAAAAATATCTGATATTAATGCCACATTTTTAATGATCATAAAACTTCTGATTAAACATTTTAGGTTAATGTGTAAAAATTTTTAAAAATTTAATTTGGGCTGCAATTTTAAATTGTACACCTATAAATTCCCACTGTTGCCTGTCTGTCCATCTGTTTTTCCTTAATTTCAAGAACAGAGTTAGATAGATGAAAGACGAGATCAGATATGGAAAGATTAGGGGGCAGGAGGCCCTGATTAACTATATATGAACTTCCAACACAAACTAGAAGTCTTGTTATTTCAATTCAAAACTTTCCCTCTGAAAGGTGTTATATAGATAACTGGCACTACTCTATTGTCTAAGTATGATGTACAGGGGCAAGCCACTACTAATTTGAGGTAGAGAGCATATTTTAAATTTATTTAATCTAAAATATATGACTAAAAATTGCAACCCTGTGTTGTGACAATGTCAGAATAAATAATCTCATTTTATTTTTATTTATTTTGTTAAATACTACTGCATATCGGATGTTTAAATTCATTAATGTCTTACTATTTATAATTGTTTATAATTATTATTAAATATTACATTTTAACTTATTTATTTCATAAATCCCCCATTTTTTTGTTATATATATAGATAATAAAGAAAGATGGTTGGAATCTAGATTTGTTATTTTAATTTGTACAAGTTACCAAATAATATAATATATATGAAAAAAATTATAAAATTAACAAATGTTATAAACAAGAAATAATTATACAATAATTCTTTTTTAGTGTTCGTTATGGCCACTGGCACAAAGATAAAAATACTCCAAATATAAAAAATGTTCCTCGTATGATTGTATTTGTCATTGGAGGTTGCTGTTATTCAGAAATGCGATGTGCATATGAAATTACCAAAGAATTAAAAAATTGGGAAGTGATTATTGGTAAGTTTTTATATTTCTATTCATAATAATACAATTGTGTTTGTATACATGTATTGAAAAAATAATTAAATACGAGGGTTGTTCAAAAAGTTCCCGAACTTTATAAAAAAAAAAATATACTTCACTTACAATTTTTGTCAGGGTCCCTTTCAAAGTAGTCTCCTCTCCAACGTACACACTTGGTGTTTCCACTTTTTGAAACAGTCTTGGAAAGCTTTTTCAGGAATGCTCATAAGCTCCTCAGTCGTTTTTTTTTTCTATCTCTGGAATGATGGAAAATTATTTTCCTTTTGAGTGTGTTTTTTTAGTTTGGGAACAGGAAAAAGTCACATGGGGCCAGGTCAGGTAAGTAGGGTGAGTGGGGAAGCATAGCGGTCTTGTTTTTGGCCAAAAACTCATGCCCTCTGATGGACAAATGAGCTGGTGTGTTGTCGTGGTGAAAAAACCACTCTCTGCTCCTCCAAAGTTCAGGCTGTTTTTGTCTGATCCTGTCTCTTAGGCATTTCATAACTCCCAGGTAGTACTGTGTTGACTGTCTGGCCTGTAGCTAGGTATTTGATGCACAATCCCCTTTGCATTGAAAAAAACAGTCAACATCACCTGAACATTTGAGCGAACCTGTCAAACTTTTTTGGGGCAGGGGCTGTTTCACCCACCCATGGGATGTCTGTGAAGTTCCGAATTTTCCGAGTTTCACACAGAATTTCACAGAACAACACTGCTCCTTCAAAGAGCTCATTTCCACGGATCTGATTTTTCGCCGAACCCCGCAAACACCCCTTCACATAAATGGCCATAACTAATCATCAAAACAAGATATCAACAAATGGATTGAAGGAGGTTACTCGGGAGGTTTCTGTGGACACAATGCATCCAAGCGGATTAAAAAATAACCAACTGGAGGTGCACTATTCAAAAAGTTTGGGAACTTTTTGAACAACCCACGTACACAAAAATACTTTTGCTTGGTTGAATCTCTCATATTTTTCTGTTAACTAAATCATAAAATTATATTCTAACAGTTTCAATAGACAAATTAGTTATCCACAAATATTTAAGAATCTAAATAAGTTTTAAAAACTTGCTGATATTTCTTTGTGATATTTACAATTGGAAATGTAAGAAAATACAAGCTTATGTATTAATACAGTAGAACCTCGAAAATTCGGCTCTCGATAACCCGGCACTCTGGATAACTCGGCCACACCCTGGCAGGGCAAAAAAATCCTTAGTTAATTAATTTTCATTATAGACAGCTTTATAAAAGTATAAAAGCTCTCATAAAGTATTTTTCTGAGGTCTGTCTTATCAGGTAAATTACTGTACACAGTGTATTCATTAATTTTCATTTTCATGTAGTAAAGGCTCTATGCCTTCATAAAGGACATACTTTTCCTTTGTTTAAGGGTATTTGGGCAGTTTATTCTCTGTT